CCATAGTAGGTGCTTAATAAATGTATGTTGACTGATTGATTGATCGATTGGGCAACAGGAAAAACAGAAAAATTAGATGACTTGTCTGTGATCACACAATAAATGTTACAGCCAGGATTCAAACCCAGGTCTTCTTCCTGATTTCAAGTCCAATGCTCTTTGCACTATGCTGCCCCTTCCCAGGTACGTTATTGCTAGGCAGGGAGACTGTAGACAATAAGTGATGGACAGATTCAAAAGAAGGAAGATTCACTTCTTGGAGTGTATGTTGGGGAGGAAAGAGGGTAGAAACTAAGGAAGACTTCATTTATGAGGCAGCCTGGCAGAATAGTAAACTGAAGCAGCAATGGTAAACTGAAATGACTTACCCAGTGTCACATAGCTAGGAAGTATCTGAGGCTGATTTAAACTCAAATCATCCCAATCCCATGTCCTGCACCACCTAGTTGCCCAATCAATCAACAAGCTATACAATCAGTCACCAGGCATTCATTAAGCGTCTACTATGTGTCAGATCTGGTTCTGGGTAATCCTTGTACTTAGCTGTTGTTATTATTAAGGAAGTAGGATTCAAGATGAGCCTTGAAGGATGAACTTTAGTAGGTGGCAATGTCAGTTACTTCAGTAACCTCAGTAGATGACAATGGGGGAAGGGGCATTTCAAACTTGATGAAAATAGAGGTGAGAAGGCAGGAAAGGGCCGTGGGAAGGAGAGCAAGTAGATCTGCCTGGTTTGGACATAGGAGATATTTTGGAAAGTAGTAGAAGAGAAAGTTGGCACCTCACACCTAGCAAATTGGCAAAGAAGATAAAAGATGGGGATATTCAATGTTGGAGGGGCTGTGGAAAGGCAGGCACACTAATGCATTTTTGGTGGAGCTGTGAATTGGTATAACCATTTTGGAAAGCAACTTGGAATTATGCAAATAAAATGACTAAAATGTCCATATCCTTGGACCCAGAGATAATACTGCAAGGCATATACCTTGAGGATAAGAAGAAAGTTCCCATGTAAAATAAAAATATTTATAGCAGCACTTTTTGTGGTAGCAAAAAACTGAAAATAAAGAAGATTGGGGAATAGATAAACAAGTTGGGTGTAATGGATGTAATGGAATATTACTGAGCTGTAAGAAATGATGGGTGTGATGAATAGAGAAACATGGAAGATCTACATGAACTGATGAAGAGTAAAGTCAGCAGAACCAGGAAAACAATAGACACAATAACTACAACAATGTAAATGGGCAGAAATCAATAGAAAGTGACTGTTGTAGAATTATAAAGAAGGGACCTTAAAGAGAAGATGCCTCCCCTGACTCCTTTGCAGATCTGGGAAGCCCACAGGTATGAAATGTTGCATATATTTTCAGGCTTTTTTGATGTATTCATCAATTTTGATCATTTTTTTTATCTTTTTAGTAAAATATTCTTTTCTTGGATGAAAGAAAACTAGAAGAAATTTAGGCAGTGTTAAATAAAAAAAATCAATAATCATTAAAAACAGAAAGACCAAGAGAAGGTTGGGGGGAGGTTCTGAAGAGTCTTGGATGCCACATTGAGAAGTCTGGACTTCATTCTATTACCAGTGGTGAGCCATTCAATAGCTTTTAGCAGGGAACATTGATATCATCATAATATAACTAGGGAAAGATTAACCTGGCCTCTGTGAGGGCCATTGACTTTGGACGGAGGTTAGCTTGGGCTTTCTCTGCATAGCAGCCCAGTTCTAAGAGAAAAGGAGTGGTGGGAGACAGGCCACTAACTGAGTGCCTGGCCCAGACTCTAGATCTTCATGGTGTCTGTTCTCTGGGGTGGCTTATGGTCTCCCTGTCAACAGCAGGCTCTCCCCACCTCCCATCACGAGGGTACTTCATGCAGAGGACACAGTCTTGAAGAGGAAATCACAAATAGCAGCAGTTGATGCCAAGAGGCAGTTGGCTGTGGGGTCCAGCAGCAGAACTCAGAGCCAAGTGTGATGGCTGATTGGCTGTGGATCTGGGGTGATAGATTGGGAGAAGGAAGAAAGCAGATCCATAGTCTACCAGAGCCTGGAGCTTCAGCCCAAAAAAGTGATCTCATTTCATGGAGAAGCACTTGCACTGAGTTTTACAGATTTTTAGAATCTGAGGCCCAATTAAGACCTGGCACCTTGTGTGTTAATCAGGGTGTTGGGTGGTTTCTTTTTCTTTTTTTTTTTTCTTAATTCTTCTCCAACCAACTCTTAACTCACCCTAATGAGGATGTTTTAACCATCGTAATGGGAGCTGCCCGTTTGGGAAGATGGCCTGGAAGTCACACCTCGGCACTCACAAGGGAGATGCTTTGGGTAGACTTGAAGCCTTTCCAGGTGACTGTAGGGCTCCCAACAGGGCTGTAATTACAAAGAAGACCTCATCCAAACAATCATGCCAGGCTGGCATTAGGAGGTAAACTAGGGAAGGCTGTTCTGAGAGCTTCTTCAGGGAGCTGGGAGATAGATGGGTGGAGGAATAGATGGGTGGAGGAATAGATGGGTGGGTGAGTTAATGGGTAGATAGGGAGAATTCTTTCCTGGCCATCTTAGAGAGAAATGGAGGCAAGGGTACAAGAGGCCGGGACTGGTACTGTCTGTGTACAAGGATGCAATCCTTGCCCTATTTCCAATGACATAGAGCAAATACTGACCCTGTGGTCAGCACTCGGGTGCTATGGACTTCCTGCCAACACACCTCAGTGATAGCTCATCTCTTCTGTTGTGTCAATTGATAGAGAACTGGCCAGAGACCCCTGGCTGACCTGTCCTTCCTGTCCCCCTCCAGTCATTCATTTGTTCATCTAACAAGCATTTTGAAGACATCTTCCCTGCAGCTCTGAAGAGGTGGGAGGCCATGGGTGTGGAACATAATATAGTATCATACTTTTCTACCTTATTAATTTTGCTGAACTTTTCCTACCTTAAAATTTTTTTTTATTATAAGGGATGGGAAGAGGTGGGAGAAATTGACATAAACAATTTTAACAAGCACTTACGGAGTATCTACTAATGTGCCAGGCACTTGCTAGGCACTGGGGATACAAAGAGAAAAAAAGGAAGGAAGGAAGGAAGAAAAGAAGAGAGGAATGAAGGAAAGAAAGAAGGGAGGAAGAAAAGAAGGAAGTAAGGAAGAAAGGGAAGAAAGAAAAGAAGGAAAGAAGGGAGGGATGGAGGAAGGAAGGAAGTAAAGAAAGAGGGAAAGAAGAAAAAAGAAGGATGAAAGAAGGGAGGAAGGAAGGAAGAAAGAGAAGGAAGAAAAGGGAGGAGAGAAGAGAGAAGAAAGGAAGAGAGGAAAGAAGGAAGGAAGGGAAGAAGGAAAAGAGGAAGGAAGGAAGGGAGGGAGGGAGGAGAAATAGTTCCTTCCCTCACGTAACTTAATTCTTTTTGGGGAAACCAGCATATACAACAATGTGAGTCAATCCATATTAGATACAAAGTAACTTCAGAGGGTGAGGAGGGATGGGGGTAAAGTACATCTAATGCAGTCATTCGCACTTGAACAAGGCCTTGAAGGAAGCTGGGCATTCCAAGATGCAGAGATAGGAGGGAGTGTGTTCTAGGCATGAGGGACCAGGCTGTGTGAATACTTAGATATGGGATTTGGGATGTTGCGTGTGAGGAGCAGGAATTAGCCTCCTTTGGCTGGAACCTAGGGTATGTGAAGCCTGGAAAGGTAGACTGGTACCAGATGGTGAAGGACTTTAAAAGCCAAACGGAGGCATTTGCTTCTAATCAGCAGGGAACCATTGGGGCTTCCTGAACAAGGGCATGACTTGCTGACCTCTGTGACTTAAGCATCTCAATATCTCTCTTGTTTCCAAGCTCAGTCCCAGCTGATTCTGGGGGATACATCTGGGGACCTAGAAGAAGGCACCCCCAATGCTCAGGGAGGTTGGCATTAGTGCTCCCCATTGCCTCCTGGGCCCCAGGCTCCCTGGCTCTCCTGCTGACAACCTTAACAAAGGGCTCGAATTCAAAACTGTGTAGCCAACCTGCTGGGGACAAGTCTTTAAGACCCAACTCAAGGGCCACCTCCTACAAGAAGCCCTTCTGGATTCCCCAGTTGTTAATACTCCTCACTCCTCCCAAAAATTAGTTTTCTGTGTATTTGTTGGTTTCCCCAGTATTTCTTGAGGGCAAGGACTCTTTTTCATCTGTGTCTTTATTCCCAGAGCCTCAGAGAGTGCCAAATGCTTATTAAAGGTCCATCGAATTGGATTAAATACATTAGTTTGACTTGCTCCTGGTCAACAGATATGCAACCGGTTGTCATCTGTTGTTACCTTGCCTGTACATGAAGCCTTTCCCATTAGATTGGGTCCCTCCCCAACTAGAGTCTAAAAATACTTGGGAGCAGGGTTAGCGCACCCTCCTGTCCTACGCCACCCTGGTCTCATTGGCCCTTCTACACATGCTGTTCCTTTACTTTTGCTTACCAAGGTTATTCTCCTTCTTGGAATGCCCTGTTTACACACACACACACACACACACACACACACACACACACACACATCCTGCCACGTACTTGTGGATAAGATCACAAGTTTAGAGCTAGAAAGAACCACTCATTTTAGTTTATTTATTTATTCATTCATTCATTCATTTATTTATTTTTAGGCAATTGGGGTTAAATGACTTGCCCAGGGTCACACAGCTAGTAAGTGTCAAGTGTTTGGTCTGAGGCCAGATTTGCACTCAGGTCCTCCTGACTTCAGGGCCTGTGCTCTATCCACTGTGCCACCTAACTGCCCCTAGATCCCCTCATTTTAGAGATGAGGAAACCGAGACCCAGAGAGGAGGGCATTTGCATTCACACCTAGTGAATGACAAGCCCAGAATTTCAGCAGTCTTGAATTATTTTGTATCACGTGAACGTTGGTGACTTAGAACTTCTCGTGGGCCCCGGTGGTGGGTGAGAAGGAGGGAAGGAGTTCTTCTTCCTCAACCCTAAGTCTAACGTGCCTCCGTCTCTTGTCCTCTCCAGGACATTTCTCCTGCAGTCTCGTCCCCGGCTTCTTCTGCCTGTGCAAAGCTTCGTGTGCCTTGCCGCCTTTGGCCTGGCCCTGCCTCTCGCCATCAGTCTCTTTCCGCAGATGTCAGAGGTCAGTAATGGGGAGGGGAGGGTGAGAGAACAGGATCAGGGAGGGCAGGGATCACCCCTGCCCCTCTTTAATGGGGGGGTATTGGCGATTCCTCTACTTCCTGTTACCAAGTGCTCCCTCCTGCTCACGTGGCATGGACCTGGATGGGGTCTCCCACGAGTTAGAAAAGAGGTCATGCGACGAGCTGATGAGTGTCCCAAGATCTGGAGACTGAGTTAGGCCAAGTCAGGGCCTGGAACTCACTCCATGGAGCTCAGTGAAGTGGGAGTTAGGGATCATTCCTCTTTGGCCTGGGGTTCTTAACCTGGGGTCTGAGAAAAACACATACAAACACACACACACACATATATATATATGCATATATACACAGGTATACATATATGTTTATATACATACATACATTATATATATATAAACACTGCAATATTTCACCATGCATTTTATTTTATGCATTGATAAAACATTCTTCTGAGAAGGGGTCAGTAGGCTGCCCAAGAGGTCCAGGAGTCCTGCCTTAGGCAGAGGACTGATCCGTCTCTCCAGTGGGCCTGAAGCTCCAAGCCCCCCTTGTGTTCTATTCCGATAGAGTGTAAGCTTCTTGAGGGCAGGGGTGGTCACATTTTTGTCGGTGTCCCCAGTGCCTAGTGCATGGCAGGCATAACCTGTGCTTATGGAATGAAATTGGATTGAAATCCCCGAACTGAAGTTGTTGGTCTGGAAGCTGCCTTAGAGATGTCCTATTCAGGGAGGTCCAAGAGTCGCCATAACCGGACACGTGATGGGAGACCCTTGAGTACGCTGGGAACGTGCACCATGAGGGTTGTTAGAGAATTAATTCCAATACCATCCATTCCCAGGACTCATTGCTCCAAGCCTGCTCAGCAGGATAGCTGGGGGTGGGCAGGCACGCCCGCCGTAGTCGAGGCCCCTGCTGGTCCATGGATGCTGGCTACCTCAAGACCACAAGAGAGCCAGGATTCTTCGCTGTGGGGGCTCCCTCCACCAGTGAAATTTGCAAGGCATCAGTAAATGGTCTTTGTAAATTGGCTGGAAAATTCACCATGGCTCTGCCAAGCCACCGAGGAGCCCTTTGGAACTTGTGGGGGCTGGTCCTCGGGTGACAAACACAGGGAGAGGCCGCTTCGGTTTGGTCGAGAGGGCAGCGGAGTTAGACCCTCTGCAGGACAGCCTGGATCTGCGTCCGAGCTGTGGGACGTCAGCCAGTCCCTTTGCCTCTCCTGAGCCTCAGTTTCCTCTTCAGCAACCTGACGATCTCTAAGGTCCCTTCCAGCGCCAATCTCTGAACGAGGAAGTCTTTCACCAGCCTGTTCTGGAAGCTTCTTCCAGAGCTGGCGAAGCTGCCAGAGCTTATGCTCAGTTGGCAGAGATTTCCAAATCCCAGGGTTACCTCCACGCTACGATGAGGCTTTCGTGGAGGGATGTATGTTTGCTAGCTAATTAAGTAAGAACATTTTTTGCCGGAAAGCTCAGGAAGGCCTCGACCTGGGGGAGCCCCGTTCGGCCCTTGGGCTACACTTGAGATTCTGTTGTCGTTGTTGTTGTTCAAGCGTTGCTGCCGTCATGTCTGACTCCTCGTGACCCCCCGCATGAGATCGATGGGATCCAATCTAACCCCCTCATTTTACAGACAGGGAAACAGAGGCCCAGAGAGCGTTTCTGTCCGCTAGCTTGCAGAATCCACAACCTCCCTCTTCCAAAGGGCCTGGAACAACAGAACTTTTCATCCTCATTTTCTAGCAGTTTGTCCAAAGTTATATGACTGGCCAGGAGCAGAGTCAAGTGATTTAGGTCCCAGGTTTCTTGACTCCCAGTCTTGGGTTTGGAACCAGAGAATTTCAGTGGAAAGGTGGCCACCTAGTCCATCCTGCACTGAAAGAATCCCTACTAACACCCCCAGCCTCTGCTTAAGGCCTAGACATAAGTGACAGGGAGCTCACTACTCCCAAAACACTACTCCATCTTTGGACAACTCTCATTGTTAGGAAAGGCAGCTAGGTGGCGCTGCAGTGGATAGAGCACCAGGCTTGGAGTCAGGAAGACCTGAGTTCAAATATGGTCTCAGACACTCACTAGCTATTTGACTCTGGGCAAGTCACTTAACCCTGTTTGCCTCAGTTTCCTCCTCTGTAAAATGAGCTAGAGAAGGAAAATGGCAAACCACTTCTGTACCTTTGCCAAGAAAACCCCAAATGGGGTCACAAAGAGCCAGACATAACTGAAATGACTGAACAACAATTGTTAGGAAGTTTTCCTGGATATCAAGCCTAACTTGGCTTCTTTGCAATTCCCCACTTACCCAACCACCACTGCTCCTAGTTATGACCTTTGGGACCAAACAAGACAAGTCTGATTCTTCTTTCACACATCAACCTTTCAAGTCTTTGAAGATAGCTAGCACATCTCCCCTGAGTCTTCTCTAGTCTAAACAAATCCAGTTCTTTCCACTGGTCCTCATATGCCGTGGACTCCTGGCCCCTTACTACCCTGCCAGCCCTCCTCTGCTCTCCAGCTCGCCAGTGCCCTTTCTCAGTACATCAGACGAGATCTAACCAGGGCAGAGGATGGCAGGACACTCACCTCCCTGTCCCTGCAGTCCATTATTGCTTTACCTTTGGTGGACCATTGTTGACTTAGATTGCGTTTAGAATCCACCGACATCCCTAGGTCATTTTCAGACAGGCTGCTCTCTTAACCCTGCCTCCCCCATCTTGTACATGTGAAGTTGATTTTTTTTTAACCCAAGTGAAAGGCTTCACTTTTACACCTACTGAATATCCTCTTTTTAGACTGAGCTCAGTGCTGTAGTCCATCAAGATCCTTTTTTGACATTCCTGATGCCGCCATCCATGTTCCAGCTGTCCCTCCTACCTCTGTGTCACATGGATGGTTCAGCACCTTGTTCTGAGCCAACGGTTCTCCCTCCTCATTCTCTTACCCTTTCTCTTTATCTATCCTCTTTACCCTTTATGGAAGGACTCGCCATTCCCAGGACTGGGAAAGGCCACACCTAAGAGCTAGCTGGGGTCAGGGAGGGGATAGGTGGGGGATCCCTTTCCATTTTGTTGCAGAAACCCAAAGAGGCAACCATTGTGTGAATGTCCTCGAACTCCCTCATCCCTCTCCCAAGTCCCACAGTCTAAAGCAGAGAGCTTAGACTCTAGCTGCTAGAGGGAAAGTCTCCTGTTCACAGGCGATTGAAATGAGAGCTGAGAGGGACCTAGGAGATCATCTAGTCTGGTCCCCCCTGATTTTACAGCTGAGGAAGTTGGGGAAGGGACTTGCCCAAGGTCACAAAGTGCTAACTAATAGAGCCAGGCCAATTCCAACTTCAAATCATACACTCTTAGACTAGACCACGATACACACTCAGCCAACATCATCTCTTCCATCTCTCCCATTGCCGTAGAATAAGGTAATGAAACCCATCTCCTAAAGGGAAGAGTTGGTGTGGGACAGTCCCTCCATCCCATTACCAGTCCCCCTCCCCCCAGCCTGGAAGTTCTTCCATGAGTCTAACTGAGGTTCGTCGTGCTGCTCCTCAGAGCCCTCACCTCTTGTCCCAGCTTCGATGGAAAAAGAGAGCAAGGGGCTTCCTCTCAAAGGATCATCACCCTTCCTTGAGCGGGGAGTCACTCGTAGAGAACCCCTAGGTTAAGCTGGTTCCCAGGCTTGCCTGTCTCTGAGAGGGATCTTAGGACTGTCTGCAATACATGGCACCATAGCTACCAGCCAGTCATCTGGAGGGACTGTCTTTTCCCTCATGCTCGTCACACTAATTAATTCTCTCTAACAAGGTGGTTCCCTTGCCATCTGGGCTGAGCCGTGGGGATTGTGTGTCATGTCCCAGAAGTGGGTGGGATTTGTCACAATGAGTCTGGGCTTGCTGGGGATGACCCAACCTCACCAAAAGTTACAGAGGTCGTCACTAGGAACACAAGCCACATAATTAATTAATTCATCAATCGGTTAATTAAACAGGCCCTGGGGTAGGGATTGGAAGCCAACCATTGGAGCTGCTGTCCTCACCAAGTGATTGTTCTGCGGGAGTCCCAGACCTCACCCCATACACATATATCCCATTTGCGAAAAGGGATAGCAGGGTCCCAGCCCTTCCCCTGGCAGCACTTGTGGGCCTGCTCTTTCACAAGATGTTTCTCTAGGACCTACAAGAATAATACCAGCAGTGGTGGCATGATCCTACTTTCCTCTGCCCCTGAATAATTACCCACAGCCATCCTGTCCTCTTGGGCAAGAGGAAGTCCTCACTGCTGTCTAACCTAAATCCTTTCTGCTGTACTTGGCAGTCATTTTCGTTGGTCTTGGCTTGAATGGAGCTGCATTTGAGCTCAGCACAATGACCTTCAGATGGTCAAAGACCAACATCATGGATCTGTCCCTTTTCTCCTTTTAGCCCCCGTTATATTCCATCGTCTGAGAGCTCAGATTCAAGTCAGGCCCCAGATTCTAGTCTGATTTCTACTGTCTCCACCCCAGTTCAGAACTAAATTACTACCATAGCCTCCTCCTTTCTGGCTTCCAGTCTCTCTCCCCTTCGATCCATTCCACCCAATGCCACAAAATTAATCTTCCTAAAGTACCAAGGTCATCCACTGCATCTCGAGTCATCACTAGTCATCTTGACTCTGTCCTACCACTGGACTGTGATGACTCTGGAAGAGAGTGAGATAAACAACTTTGTGCAGCTCTGTCTCACTTAAATCCAACTTACGCATACATTAAAAGGTATCACCCATGCACAGTGATGTCATTTTGGTCCTCTTTGAGAAGGAAGCCCAACAACCAACGTTGGTTTGTTGAAAGGAAAATATTCATGTTCCTCACCTAGTATTCAAAACCTCTCACTACCTCGGCAATCTTCTCTCCTGCTGTTCCCCAATATCAGCCTCCACTATCTTTTTTACTTTAAGTTCTAATAACCAAAGAACAATCTTGTGTGATCCAGACTGTTTCTTCTTGGT